GGGGGGAGAAGGTTATTGTTGTTGCTTTGTTTTTTAAATAAGAGTTTATTTGAGCCAAACTAATAACATATGCTGGGGAGCAAGATCTCAAATGCTCCCAGTGTTGCTGTTGTTTAATGGGAGAGCTGCTGATGGCCTTGAACAGATGGAGGGAATGGGAGGGTCTGAGTGAGAGGCTTGGCCTTTGCTGGGAACGAAAGGAGGCAGGAGATGGGAGGAGGAATTTATTTCCTGGGCTGCTTTCCTGCTTGGTCACAGCCAAGTTCTTCTACTGAGAGCCACAGCTCCTCTGAGGTACCACCACTGCCTCTTCCTGCTGCCAGGGCTTGGGCGCACTGCCACTCTTCGGTGGGTTCCTTAATGCTACCATCCCTTTGTTATTAAACTCTCTTCATTTACCCCCATTTGAATGTGTCACCTGATTCCTGAAAATACAGGGAAGACAACCTGGTCTTTAACTTTACTTGATACCTTCCCTCCTCCCCCCATTTCTGATCCCCCCCTTTTCTGAACCCCAGGAAGACAGATCCAGACGGGGAAGACAGCAGCTTACAAAGTTGTCTTTATTGCTTTCTTACTGCCTCACAGAGCGTCAGGGTCGACCCCTCCCGGGAATAGGGCATTTGAGGAGATAAATACTTATTTTGCCCCCCACTCTTCAGTAGGGGGAGGTTTAATAAAAATAGTAATATAATAATAATAATAATAATGACTGTGATCAATAATAAAATGTCCCCTAAGATCCCCTAATACACAGTTGGTCGAAGCTTTGAGAAAAAGGACCCCCCCTTTTAGGGGAGAGTCAATGTGTGCCTGGAGACCCTCCAGTGGACCTGTCGGGTGCCCATCTCCTACCAAGTAGCCCATATAAATACCCTCCCCATCCCATCCCTGTTTAGGAATTATCTTCTCCTCTGGACGGATTAGATGACAATGTCAGTTGGCTTACAGAGCCCTTCCCTGTTTCCAACCGCACCAAGCCCCTCCCCAGAGAAAGGACCCATGGGTGTACCCCAGTTCCCTCTCCCCTCCACCCTTCTCCTTTTGTCTCTCTTCTTCAGTGATCCTCCTTTATCTCTCTCCTCTGGATGGCTTTTCTCTCCTTCCAATCACTGTCACCTCCTCCTCCGCTTCCTTTCTCCCTACTTGCCCCTCACTTCCTTCACCTACATTCTTCCCCTGCTTCCCTAGCTTTTCCCCTGGATCAGAGCCTGCCCTTCCCACCCTGACCCTGAGCAGAGACTGAGATATAGAATGGGATATGCCCCAACCTGGCCTCACTGAGGGCTAGACAGTGTGCAGCCCAGACTTGAGACTGCTCCCAGAGACCTAGCCCTTCATCCCTCACCCTGACTCTTACTTACAAGCCTCCTGAGGCTTGGCACTGGAAACGAGAGTTTTGGCACAATCATCCCTGGACATGGGACAGAGGGGCCCCAGCCCATGGCAGAAGGGGAACAATGCATTCTATTCCCAGAGCTAGCACAGGTTGGGCTGGGTGTAGAGGCCAAAGGTGGATGAGGGCTAGGAGTCAGGCTCCCCAGGTCCTGGGAATTCAGGCCAGCCCCCAGTCACTACCCAGCCCAGGCTCTCCCTGAGTCCAAATTTCCACATGGCCCGGACCAGCCGGAGTGGCATTCTTCAGGCTCTTTGCTCCCTCACATCTCAGTCCTGGGATTTGGGTGGGCCCTGCCAGAGGGTGTCAAGGGGAGCTCTCTGACTCAGGGGCTAGGGGGAGGCTCCGGGGCCGCTCTGAGACCTAGAGGGGAAAGAGAAGGAAGTCAGGTGGAAAGAGTAAAGTAGGACTTTCCTCACTGAGTCAGTGCCTCCAGAGGCCTTCCCAGGACCCATCACCTGCTGCAGCAGGGTCCTTAGAGGAGACCAGATGTGAGGTGGCAGTGGGATTACGTGAGAACAACCTGGGAACTTGTACTTAATCCTGGAGTACACATTAAGTCCCTTTGTTCATTCACTCTTCTTCATTCAATCAACAAACATGCTTTACTTTGGACAGAAGACAAACTTGACCCCCACCATCAAAGAGCCCACAGTTGAGGGAGGAGGACTGGCACAGCAGAACTGACAAGGAATGGGTGGGAGGAGGGCACTGAAGGTGGCCCTAGCCCCAGAGAGGCAGTGATCACCTGCCCAGGTAGCCAGGTGGTCTCTGGAAAAGGTAATATTGGTGCAGAGCCTTGAGGGTGGCCTGGGTATTAATCAGGTTGAGGACAAGAAAGGGCATTCAAAGCAGGGGGACAGCAGGGGCAAGAACTTGAAGGTCTAAAAGAA